GTATAGAATTTAACTTAACTCAAAGAATCTGGTCTTTGTCCCAGGCTCTTGAGAGACAACCTCAAAAACCTTGGAATTCCCCCAATGACTGAAGTGTCCTTTATCTACAAGGGCTCCAGAACAGACCTGACAGGTTATGCTAATGACTGACGCAGGTGGAGACCAGCCATAGTAGAAAGACACACTGCATGATAGCAGTAAACCTCAGGGGAAGGGCATGATCCAATCAGGCCTAATTGGAGTTCCAATTAGGAGTCCCTAATGCAGTCCCTCATACTCTCATACTTCGGACATATTGTCAAGAGGGACCAGTAGCTGGAGAAAAACATCATGTTTGGTAAGGTGGAGGATCAGAGAAAAAGAGGAAGACCCCCAACGAGATGGATTGGCCAAGAGGCAGCATCAATGGACTCAAGCGTGGCAACAGTAGTAAGGTTGGCCAAAGATAGGGCAGTGTTTCGTTCTGCTGTGCATAAGGTCGCTATGGGTCGGTACTGACTCGATGGCACCTAACAACAACAACAATGCAGTCCCAATTAAGATCTGGACAAGGAAGCTCCATGGAACTCCTGATTGGCAAAAGACAGCTGGTTCTCGGAAGGTTGATGCATCCTTTTTGGAACACAGTAGCTTCTTGTCAGGGACTCTTATCAGACCTCACCTTATGTAACCCTTCTTTATGCTAGTCCTGATTTACATCCTTTTAATAAAATTATATTCATAAGTATAATGCTTTCCTGAGCTCTGTGAGTTGTTCTACACAATGATAGAACTTGAAGAAGTAAGGAAATCAATAGATCAAAAAGTGAGGAGTGACCTCAGAGACCTCTGAGCTTATAGCTGGTATTCTGAGGGGAGAGAGGAAGTCCTTAAATTAGGAGCTAGCCAGTCAGAAGTAATGGGGCAATGGGAGCCTATAGCTTACGGCTGGTATACTGTAGGTACACTGTAAAAATCCCGAATTTGTAAATAATAGGTCAGACGTGAAGGTGTCTGGAGGGCTGTGCCTTTTAACTCTAACCTACATTTGGTGGTTAGGATCAAGGGAAAAAGTATTGCATCTGCAGTTAGTAAAAGAACTCAACAGATAAGTTGCAACTAATCTCAACAGAAAGCATATAAATTCCCCTCTGTGGCCTTTCTTATGATATAAAGCAGAGTCATTTAACTCAAGGAAACCCCAAGGAGTGTTCTAATCACCACTGAAATCTATGTAGTCAGGTCATAATACACTCCTGCCTATACTCTTATGGTCAAAAAATATATCTTTATAGATTTCTCAAGTGTAAAGGGAGTACGTATCCATATGCCCAAGGGCACATACTAATACATAGTAACTATAAGATCAGCCCATTACTTCCTATATAAGCAATCCTGAAGTATCTTTTCGCTTGTTCATTAATCATAACAACACTTGTTGGTGTTGTCAAAGCCAGCAACATTGTGGTTGTTAAGGTCAACAATATAAGGTTCCAACTAATAGTGACCCTGCATAGAGTTTCTAAGGAGCAGGCTGTCCAGTACAATAAGCCCTGAACTGAAAGACCAGTTTGAACTACAAAGTCAGCAGTTTAAAGTGGCCTTTCGGTCCAGTGCTCATTCTACTGGACTCCATAACAACACTTGTTGTTAGGTGCGGTTGAGTTGGTTCCAACTCATAATGACCCTACATAGGGTTTCTAAGGAACAGCTGTTGAGTTTGAAACTCCAACTTTGTGGCCCAGTGCACTACTCCACAGTACTATACCAGGACTCCATAACACTATGCTTTATTAATTCAGACTTTTTAAGGCAGCATAAAAAATAAAATGACTTTAAAAGAAATCAAAGTTAATTGCTGATAAAAGTAGAATAGCTATGAGTGTTAAACTAAATAAATCATAAAAGTTTTCTTCTGCCCTTTCACCTCTCAAAGAGTCAAGATTTTGTTTTTACAAGATGATTACATTTAGTTATTTGTAAAACATTAGCAGTAAAGAGATTTTAAAATCTAAATCCACATTTGATTAAGGCTATTTCCTGCAGTCTTATTTGTAATAGCCATAGACTCTCATAATGGTAAAATTTAGATTGGACTCAGAAAACAACAGACCTATTAAGATACATCTTAATCCCAATTTCTATACCGACTAGTTCACTTAGATTCTGTGAACCTTTAAGATTGGATTTATGATAATGGGGGGGGGGGAGCGGAGTGCCTTCTATAAAGTAGGTATTTAGTAAGTGTTAGTTTTCTTCTCCAAAACAGTACACTGCCTCAGGATTCTATGCCACATAAGTTATTTATGAGCTAGCCATCCTACTTTTTTCAAAACTCTGAACCTTCTTTACGTCTCATTTAAGTATAATGTTCAAAACCAGATTCTGATTTCTGGGAACAGTTGTTGAATTTATAAAAGCTATCCCATCTTTTACCATTTCTCTTCATCTGACAAGTGCACTGCAGCCAAAAGGCCATTAAGATGCCAATCTTATCAATAAGTTCCCTTCCCTCCTTTATATATCCAAAATGTTTAATCACTGACAATTAAATATCTACACAGTTTTAAATCCTACTGTAATATCACCAAGTGTCATTTGAGAACACTGCCAAAGGAAAGAAAATTTCATAGTACAACACAGTCAAATGCTATATTTTCAAAGCAGAATTCTGTTTTTTAAGATGTTTTAATGCTTCAATCTGGAGTCCTGGTGTGGCACTGTGGGTTAATGCGCCAGATTGCATAGCCGTTTGAACTGCAAGGTCACTATAGGGTTGCTATTGGTTGAAATTGACTCGACAACACTTAACAACAACAACAACAACGCTTCAATCCACAATGTTTTGTCTGGTTATAATTGAATTGTGAAATCCCTGTGAACTTTCAAAAGTTCCCAAAATTCAGACATTGAGTTCTGGAAATTAAGACAAAGAAAATAAAGACAGAAGCTGATACTCTCCTTTTATACATAGAAGTCAGAAGCTCATGTAATACAAAAGCTCTATGCTGCCCTCAGATTTTTAAAATGAGTAGCTCAAGTAAATGGTTCTAAAAGGCAAATACATGCAAAAACAACATAGAAAAAAACAAAACACAAAGAATATTACACACACTGGAAATTTATACTAAACACTGCCCCTTAGGGTCTCCAAGACTATAAAGCTTCCTGGGCGCAGTCTCATCTTTCTCTTGAGAAGCAGCTGATGGGTTTAAATTGTCTTATCTTCCTTAATCTTTTAAGATGGGAATCGTAAATTAAGCAAAGAAATCACTATTTCTTTTTATTAACTAATTTCTCTTAATTCAAGAATATATCCACACTAATAGTAAACATTGCTTTTTTCACAAATATTGTCATATTAAAATTTTTAGACATCTCAATAAAATCCTCCTACTTTCTAAAAGTGACCAATGGCTGGCAGCTCAATTTACAAACCCCAAAGCACATTTCAAATTATAAGACGATACCAACAAATATTACAAGAAAATTACTTCATTTTCCCTTTCTCAAATCCTAGACATTTAGTGTACGTTGTTGTTGTTGTTGTCGTTATGTGCCGTGGAGTCGGTTCCGACTCACAGCCACTCTGTACAGGGTTTCCGAGGCTGTAAATCTTTACGGGAGCAGAAAGCCTCATCTTTCTCTCGCGGAACAGCTGGTAGTTTCTAACTGCTGACCTGAAGTTAGCAGCCTAATTTGTAACCACTACGCTACCAGAGCTCCTTATTAATTAAATTTCCATTTTATTAGGTTCATATAAATTTCTATCAATTATAAAATTCTATTAATCATTTCACTAATGTTAGAAAACTCTATAAATATTTCAGGTATTACTGTTTTTCTTCAACTTTTCTTGGATCAATTCCCAAGAAAATATTTACTTTTAACCTAAATGTTATTCTTCTAGTAGTTTAAGAATAGCTGGTTATAAACGTACCTTGCTAACTTTATAAGATCACTACTTATTTATATAGCCAAATAACTGAGTATGCTACTGAGAGAGGCAATTTAGCATAGTAATTCAAAGTACAGACTTTTAAATCCTATAGCTCTATATCTAAGCCCAGGCTCTGCCACCTTATTAAGTATAGCTCAGGCAAGTTATTCATCTCTCTCAATTTCCTTACCTAAAAAATTATAGATAATAATAGTACCTATATCATGAGACTTTAAAAATAAAATTATCCTGGTAGCAAGACTAGCATAGTGACAGAGACAAAAACAGTATTCAATAAACATTAGTTGCTAGTATTATTCCAATAAGGAGCTCTGGTAGTGTAGTGGTTATGAGTTGGACTACTATCCTCAAGGTCAGCAGTTCGAAACTTCCAGCCATTCCATGGGAGAAAGATGAGGTTTTCTGCTCCCGTAAAGATTTATAGCCTCAGAAACCCTATGTAGGGTCACTATGAGTCAGAACCGACTCTACGTCACACCACCACCACCACCAGAGATAATAAATCTATGATTTTGTACTGTTACTACCCAACCTATTGCTGTTGACTTGATTTCAACTCATAGTGACCCTATACGATGGAGCAGAAATGCTTCACAGTCTCCTCTAGACAGAAGGAGGCTACCACATTTGTTTTCTCCCACAGAGCAGCTGGTGGGTTCAAACTGCCAACCTGTTAGCAACCCAATGCTTAACTCACCTCACCACTAGGACTACTTTATGAAAATTTAATAAAACTCCATTGTTGTTGTTGTCGAATGCCGTCGAGTCGATTCTGACCCATAGAGACCCTGTATAGGCTTTCCAATGAGCAGCTGGTGGGCTTGAACCGCCGACCTTGCAGTTCAAACAGCTTTGAAGTCTGGTGCATTAACCCACAGCACCACAATAAAACTCCATATTTAGATATAAAATAGGCTTGTGGCTAAAATTGGATTGAACATCAGTATATTATAGTATTAGGTTGTCATTTGATCCTAAAATTGATGGTACCCCAATATTCACCTACAGTGAGGTCCTTGACCTACTTCAAAATCTACAGAGAAAGAAAGAAGCCACTTACTGTTTACTGCAACCCACTCATTTAGATCTTCCCCCTCAGGAAGCATGACAGCCATCCGGAGGTTGCCACTGCCAAGTGTGGCTTCTGCATGCTTTAAAAGCTCATATTGGTGAGAACCCTCTGGAATGTTCTTCTTTGGTTTAAAAGTTTTAGAGGAGCGACTACCACTATGAATAGAAAAGCAAAAAAAAAAAAGGCATTTCAATATACAAGGCATGACTTTTAACAGAGTCTACTACATTAAATTATGACTAAAATAAAAGAAGGGATGGTAGCTTCCACCCCCCACCAGCATTAGCCCTAAATGGCATTGTTGTTGTTGTATACCATCAAGTCAATTCCAACTCAGAGAAAACCTGTATGGTTTCTGAGAGCAGCTGATGGGTTTGAACTGCCAACTTTGCAGTTAGCGGTCCAGTGCTTATCCTACAGTACCACACCAGGGCTCAAACTGTATGACCTACCTTACATCACAGCAATATCATTAACTACTTGAAATCCCACATATCTGTCAGTTTGTCACACTGTGGTGACATGCGTGTTGCTGTGATGCTGGAAGCTACGCCACTGGTGTTTCAAATACTATCAGGGTAACCCATGAGAAACAGGTTTCAACAGAGCTTCCAGACTAACAAAAAGACCAGGAAGAAGGAATAGTTGGTTCACTTATGAGGGATTGTTGTTATTGTTAAGTGCTATTGACTTGGGTCCGACTCACAGTGACCCTAGTTTTGGGTTTCTGAGGAGTGAATGATCAGTTTGAATCACCAAACTTGTAGAGGTAAATACTATTAACGGATGGTGCATGGAGAGGATTGTAATCATTGTAAACGAAACAAAATATGATTGGTTGAGTGCAAACCTGATGATCTGCCCTGTAAACTAACCCTCAATTCATAACAAAAGCAGAGGACAATGAATGCTGGTAAGGATGTAAAGAGGCTGGGACCCTCCTACATTGCTGATGGGACTGGAAAATGGTTCAACCATTCTGGAAAATGGTATGGCACTTCCTCAGAAACTTGGAAATAGAAATGCTTTATGATCCAGCAATTACTCTACTTGGTATATATCCACAAGAAATATAAGCCAAAACATGAGTAGATACAGGCACACTTATATTCATCGCAGCACTATTTACAATAGCAAAAAGATAGAGACAGTACCCATCAACAGAAGAACGGATAAACAAACTCTGGTACAAACACATGATCGAATACTATGCTACCATGAAGAATAACGATGAAGCTGCAAAACACCTCATAGCATAATGACGACATTATGCTGAGTGAAATTAGTCAGGCACAAAAGGACTATATTGTGTAAAACCATCATTGTTAAAGCTTAAGAAAAGATTTCCATACTAAAAGAAAAATGCTTTGATGTTTAGCAGGGATGGGAGGGAGAGCAGAGTAATTCATAGGTTAGGGGATAGATGCATAGTAACCCAGGTGACTGGGAGGGCAATGCCCAAGAAGTGGGAGGGGGGCAGATGGATGGGGATGACAGGGGAAGACTTAGGGAGGTAAGTGTGGGCTAAATGGAATAGAGACAGATTGTTATATGTATGCACAGCCTTGGAACAACAGGGCTGTATGATATAGGGATCGAGACATCATCTGAATGAGTAAAGGAGGGGAAATGATATAAAAGTACTTCACTGTTTTATAGATATTGTCTTCCCCTCCCTGCCTACTATTGTAATACACACATTCATGTGGGATAGAAAGGAATATTGGGGAATATGATTGCAAAAAGCTTGTAAGCCTGTCTTCAGCCTATAACTGATTAGGTTATCTTAAAGGGGGCTAGAATGTGCCCAGGTGAATAAGCCTCTTGTTAAGTAAGCCTTTGTGGAGTATGGGGCCTTAGGCAGAACCTCCAGGAGGTGGAACAGTCCCAACTGAAAAACATACAGACCAACCCAGAAAGGCTAGTAATGAGAAGATACTTCTTAAAAGAAAGAACAAGGAAACCTCTCACTCCCTGACTTCAAATTTTATTACACGGATCTCTGGTAGTATAGTGGTTACGAGTCAGGCTGCCAACCTCAAGATCTGCAGTTCGAAACTACCAGTGGTTCCATGGGAGAAAGATGAGATGTTCTGCTCCCATTAAGATTAACAGCCTTGGAAACCCTGTGCAGGGTCACTATGAGTCAGAACCGACTCTAGGGTACTTACCAACAACAACAACTGTGGTCAAAACAGCCTGGTACTGGTATAATGAAAGATACATTGATCAATGGAACAGAATTAAGAATCCAGAAATTAACCCATCCACATACAGCCAACTGATTTTCGACAAACTACCTAAATATTGCAAGGGAAGGTGATATTTCTCCAACAGATGGTGCTGGTAGAACTGGAGAACGATATGCAAAATACTGAAACAAGAACTTCACCTCATGCCTTATACAAAAACCAACTTAACATGGATTAAAGACCTAAATGTGAATCCCAAAATTATGAAGGCCATCAATGAAAAAATAGGGACAAATGTGAGGGCACTAATTCAGGTAAGACACAGACTACCAATCATTTTGAAAATTACACAAACAAAAGTAGACAAAATAGATGATTGG